AGTTGACTTTTTTGATGTCCATTCTGTGGATAGTCGGTCTTGATCGTTCTTCTTATCTACCGTTTTTGCCGCCGTTTCAGCTGACCGTCAGTGACCGAGACACTTTAGACGTGAACGGCCATCTTGAGTGTGTCGAGCCGGCCGGCCTGGCGGGCAGACAGACTCTCCTGTTCGAGCCGTTGACGATTGTGCCGCCGCAATTGCTGCTCAGCGAGACGTCCTCCTCCGAGACCGGCTGGTCCACCGCCAACGGGTACGCAGCCTCGACCGGCCATGGTCTTGGCACCGGACTCATGAGTGCCGCGGGACTCGGAGCGAACGGCAGACCGGCCAGAGTGCCACAGCTTCAGTTCCAGTTGGTGACTCGAGACACGTTGGATCTGGAGGACGGCGGTCCGCCGGTACGACTCAGCTACTTGACCTGTTGCGACGGGGCTCCTGCCGCCTCGCCGGACACAAGCGCCACAGACTTGGCCGTCTGGCCGTCCAAGCTCTGTGGCCAGCCCGGCTCGACGACGGCTCGTTTCTCCGCCACATTCACAGTCTCCTTGACGGTGCTCGATCAAAATGACAATCGACCAGTCTTCCAGGAGACCGTCTATCCGGCCACGGTGATGGAAAACCTGGCCGCTATGACAAAAGTCATCAAGGTTGGCGAAAATTGTTTGTTCTTCACCTTTGTATCATTCGCTTTTTGCCAAAATGACAACTTCACTTTGAAGCAATACTGCCTGTTCAGTTACTAAGGCCGGCATGCAGTAGGTTCTGGAAATCATACTTTATCCGAATACAACCGTAATGTAGAGTAAACTCATTTTCCCACGATGATATAAGAAGACCTCACATTTTCATTTAATGTCACGCATCGTTGCTTCGTAATATGTATTCTCATCCAGGCCTAGGTCTCAGATTTAGCTATGATAATATAGAAAGAAAAGTTGGGTTTCGAGGAATCTCTTGTTTCATAATTGTTGAGATTACTTCCATTTCGAGTAGAAGTGTTGGGTGAAGAGATTAGAAGGTCAGTTCCACCATAAGACTAACCAAATCACCTTATACTCGATCAAATAGGCCAGATGTAGAGCATATATACCACTTTTTAGGGATTTGCCGGTGAGTTTTCTTGAGTTGTGATCATGTTACCTCACTGTGATGATGTCCGTCATATGACGGACGAAAGCTCAGCACGTGTTCACCGGAATCGAAGGAGATTGCCT